CCAAATAACGTTTAAAACCGTCTCTGTGAGAAAAGGTCTGTATATATCATAAACAAATAAATTTGATTCAAAACCTTTTTCTTAAAAAAGAAGTTCAATTGTTTTTATGGTAATTTTTTAAGATAATTATATTACCATACAACTTTGAAGCTTTTGTTTTATTTTGTTAAGAATAATTATAGATTGTATTAACTGTTTTTTGGTATAGAATTTTAATAATTATACTGTAATTAGCCATATTTTAAACCCCAATAATTGGGTATTGTTTTGGTGTTTGTAGTAATATAAACATTTCACGTGTAGACTGAATGTAATTTGTCAATAACAATTATTTTAATAAGTAAAAACATAATTTAATATAAAAATAATTGTTTTGCAACCAATCAGTATAAAAATAGTTAATACACATATTATTTAATATTTATTTTTTCTCGGTTAATACAACAATATTTTTCTTGGTCTTTTTATCACAAAATTAACGATGAAAAGGTTAGATTTAGTAATAATTATTAAATAAAATATCTTTCAGTTTAAAATAGAGCCAAAACCTTATTATTTCGTACGTTGATTATTTTTTGTTTTTGAATTGTGACGTATTTTATTAGCATAACATGTTCTGTCAAACTTTTTATTCATACAATTATAAAAAAAAACTAATATTGTTAAACAAGTTTACAAATATAATCATATCATCAAAAATCCCATAGGTGTGTTTTTAAATAAACTTAAATAAACACAGATAGAAGAATTATTGATAGTCATAGAAAAAGTGGTTGTCATGAAAATAATGTTATTAAAAACAAAAAATCGATTTTTGTCAAAAATTCTTCCAGCGTATTGAGTAAGTTGATTATCAAATAAAATAATAAATATTAACTAATTTGTTTTTATAAGGCATTGAACAAATGTTAATAATATTAATATTTTGAACTTTTAACAATAATAAAAATTATATATTTGAAAAAGACTTATTAAAAAACTTATACTTGTGTTTTTGGTGAGTGCTACAACAGTAGGAGATATGGACAATGAAAACAATAATCAGCACAAAACGTTTGGTTAATTTGAACACAAACAACAGTTTTCATAACAAAATGTCATATTTGTAATATATGTCATATTACATATTGTTTATTAATGAATGTCTATTGATTAATTATTCACTTCCAACGTTATAAATATACAAACTTTATAATCGTGATTATTGTTTGTTTGATTTACACATCCCCAACAACATTTCATTTTATACCGTGATAACAAGATACAGTCAATTTTGATTTTGAAGATGAGTAAAATCTTTTTGTGGTTTTTCTGTTTTTTATATAAAAATAGTTTTTTTAAATTTTTCATCCTTTTGACAACCACTTTCTGAAAAATCAATCCAAACTACCACGGGCTTCCCTTAAATTTACTTGTTCAACAACTAACAATATATAATCATTAAAAATAAATTGATTAAAATACCTTTTTAAACTCGTGACAACTACTTTTTCTTACATCTATAATCATTAGATTATTGAATATATTTAAAGTGTGTATTAATATTTATATACATTTAATAATATGTAAATAATAAATTGTTATTATATTAACGATACAATAACAACATTTTATTATAAATTTATATTTAATAATAATAATTATTAAAGTGACCTTCGAGATTGTCGCGACCCAAGTAATCTTAAGATCTTTTGGATCGAATTAATTATTTTTTTGTAAATCGGCATTTAACTGTCCTCTTTATCAAATAACAAAAAAAATAATTTTAAAAACTTCACATTATTATTTTTTTCTGAATTTATATATTTTTAAATTGATTATATATAATCATCATTAACCTTAACAGATCGTGCTAACAATTTTCATAACAAAGTTATCAACACAATTAAACGTTCAAATAATCAAAAAAACAAATTACCTTTATATCAACACAAATAGTATTAATAATAAGGTAATTTTCAAATTAAATTACACTAAAATTATAGTTGTTTTTAAATTGAATTTATTGATTGTAAATAATAACTTTGGTGAAATAATTATGATATTCATTAAAATAAAAATAAACAATTAACATCAATTTCATTATGTAACTGTGTTGATGTACACTATTATCGTTTAACAACTTTTTGTTGATAATAACATGTAAGAGAGTTGTTATATACAATTATTTTTCTTAACTATCGTTTTCTTATTATTCATATAAAAACACATAATTAAACATATATACCTTAGTAACACCACAACATTTATTATTATATATAATAGAAACATGTATTGATTATTAATTCTAATAATTTAAATACAACAGATTGTGTATAAGGTTTCACCATTGATCACAACATTTTCATTTTTATAAAATGTCAAAAATAAAACGTGATAAATTTTTAGTGTGAAAATGTGTAACATCAAACCTGAACTAAAAATCATTTCACTAAAATTACTAGAATAACACAGTTTGAAACATTTTTGCTTATAACTTGTTGCTCTCTCACATATATACATAAGATATAAAAATAAACATTTTATCATCAAAAAGCAAAAGCAGAAGATAAATAATTATATAAAATTTGATAGTTCTTTGTTGTGGTACATTAACTTTGTTGTTTCAACAAAAATGAATACACTTTCATGATTATTTTAAAAATTAATTCATACATATTTATTCGTAATAACAGTTATTTATCGAGATCATACATAAAAGTGCATTAAAACATAAATGTTTGTCTTTTTGAATTTAATAACAATGCTTATGTTATCTAAGTAATACACAAATATTCATTAACAATTTAATTGCTTACAAAATAATTGTATTAATAAAAAAGGAAATAATATTTTTAATTAAATTTATAAAATATATTTAATCATATCTAAGTGACAACACCAATGTAATTTAAATATCCAATTTCTTTTATTAACAACATTTTAATTTGTTCACAAGTATATATGATTATATATTATAAAAAAAACTTCACATGGTTGTTAGTTATTTTGACCAGTAAATATATATTTTATTTATTCATTACACTTACATAAGAATGTGAACAACAAGTAGTTAAAAATATTTATTTACATTCTTTTCATATTATAAAATTATGTAATTGTTTAGTTTGAAATTATCTGTTTACACACTCAAACTAATTACATGTTTAATAATTAAATTCGTTTTTACAATGGGCTTATAGAGTATAAAAGTGAATCATTTTTTATTTATTATCATAATAAAATCATTAGAAGTAACTGTGAAATCGTGTTATTATTTCACTATTCAAAAACAGTTGTGATGTCATTTTCATAATGTGCTATCAATGTGTGTAATCAGACATAATAAATAAAAAAGATAATATATATCAAATAACATTATATACATGTTATTATTGACAATGAGTTATTCGAAAATAATAGTATTTTGTGTATTTACACAATGAAAATAATCACACTCATTCTAAATATAAAAGATATATTAGATTATCAAAAAAATATGTCAAAAACAATTATAATCTTTGGTTTATGTTTTTATCAAAAATTACATTTAAACATTATTGTTAATTATTTATTTATCATTCAATGTCTTGTTATATTGGTAACTGTATGTGTGATTCAAAAAACTACATTTTTAAATTGAAATACAATTGTTTAAATATGAATATTTTAAAAGAAATACAATTATTTTTTTGTTAACCAAATAATTTTTTTGT